CACGAGCCGCTTCTAATCGTCTGCTCGTGATTGTTCTTCTAAAGGAAAGTAGCTGGCGCCCGCGAACGGTAGGCTGTCGGTATTAAACGACGAACAGAGAAACGGAGAAACGCTGTGAAGCTTCGAAGGGTGGGAGACGGTCGAGGAGAGAGGGAGAGATAGAGAAGAAGAAGAGTCGACTCGCAGGTTCGTTAAGGTTTCCAAGTTTTTTCTCGACGCAGTTGTTTGACGCCCGCTCTTTCTTTCATTCCGTTTACTGATGAGCCGAGACCATCCTCTTTTCCTCTCCTTCGCCGCGGAGAAACGGACAGAGCTATAGGTGTCTCTTCTTTTTTCCTTTTCCCTCTTTTCTTCAACGCGACCATCTCGTGCCACGACAATGACCTACTCGTTCGTCCAGACATTTTCGAATCATTATGCCGGAAGTCGTTGCCTTCGAACACGCTGTTTGAAACGGTTAGGGGAGTTTCTTGCGTCTTTGGAATCGTTTCTTGCGACGTTCGAGCGATGAAGCTAGAGCGATTTCAGGAAAACGATGAATCGCTCGAGATGCCGAGGATAAGTTGCAACTGTATTGTACGGACGGTAAATAAAATCTCCTAAAGACGACGTTCCTCGATAAAAGTATCCTTTTAGCAGCGATTTGTTAATTTATCATTTTTCATAGAACGTTTCTGAATTTTCGTCACTTTTTTAAAGTTGATGCTCGAATAAAGTTTCCTTTTCTCCTTGTATCACTTACTTTTTCATATAGCTTGCATCTAGATTCCTTTAGCACGAGTTTTATACGTTAGTGGTCGATAGCTTTAACGTTAATTGCTTCACGAAAAACCTGGAAGATTCACGCTGCGGATTAGCCTCGATCAAATCGCCATCTTTCGAAAGTAAAAAATTATCGCTAGTTTATTACCAGAGGACATTTCACCGGCGAATGATGCATCAAAAGTAAGACGCGAGCAGTAAAAGGACGGTTATGCAATGGATTATTTATATTACATTTGATGATATAAAATACGATGTATTTGACGAGCAACGTGCTAAAAGCTGCAATATATTATACCATCTAAAGGTTGTATGCATCAACGAGACTTATCTTTCTTCACCACAGCCTAACGATATTACGTAGATTTCATTAAGTCACATAGGATTTTTCTTCGTTAATCTTTCCCGCTATTACCTAGAAAAAAGAACTTGAAATCTCCATCCGTAGATATACAATATTATTCCACTAAACGTAATACTGGATTGCTCGAAAGAAAGTAAACCTTCGCTTATTTCTCGCACAAGTGTTCGAATATTTATAGAAATCCTTTATACGTATATTATGTATGTCATACCAAACACTTTGAGATTTCATTAGTACCGTGCATGGTTATAAATTGGTAGCTCTGATAGAGCTTAAAACAAACCAGGAAATGTACGTGGAAGCTGTGAAAGTAGCTATATGTTTCTCAGAGATCACAAAAGTATTTAAACGTTCGATTACCCATCGTATCAATAGGCCTCTCGATACTCAATGGCAACATCTTGTGCGCTTATTGTGTATTTCACACGGCTATTCACGCTGTACGATATTCTTTTACCAAATCACCGTAAACTCGTCTCGTAACTTGTATAAATATTTGCAAATTGATTTCAAATTTTACCGATATAACCGTGTCTCGGGCCAACCGAATTTCGATACGTTTTATATAACAGACTCGACATTTACGTAAAAGTTCTCCGTGGTAAGCGTTCAAATAGCTTCATGAGCCACTGCGTACACATAGATAATTGAACTCCAAAAATATTTCGAACTCTGACATTTGACAGCCTCGTGGAATGCTCGAAGCAACAAAATCGAAACACAATCCTGCGCCGGCTATAATTCCGTTTCAAGGCGGCCAGAAACAGCGAGCGGAACGCGTGAGAATGCTCGCGGAGCTTTCGGGCTCGTAAGCGAGCGGATCTTTCTCTTTCTTTCTTTCGCTCATAAAGAGAGGAGAGAGACAAGGAGGATGAAAGGTTAAGCGGCGCAAAAACGGGGCGCGGAGCTAATATCGGGACGTGTTGTTTCCATCGATGCGCAACCGCGTGAGGAATATTCGAGCCGTGGCGTGCACGCAGCCAGACGTTGATTAACAGTGGTCTCGCGATTAACAGTAAATCACAGAGCGCATCGATTCAGCCTTCTCGTAACCGTATCCGTGGCCCGTAACCGACCGGTGACTATAACCAGCGAACGGTACCATTTAAGTAGCCGAGCCTATTGATTTTACAAAGGATCTGGACGCGCGTGCACGGACCGATATCGATTCTATCCCACGAGCTGACCCCGATTCGGGCCAAGGCTGTTGTCTACTTTGCCAAGAATCGATCTTTTTGCCCTAAAGTGTCTCGCGAAATCTGCCATGTTTACGGTTAACCCTTTCACGGTACGACGACGTAAGCAAGAAGTCAGAAATTCAATTATTTCTTCGACGTCGTCTCATCTTGAACGATCGAACTAATTTGCAATTTACAAGTCGCAAATCGTAAGTGACGAATTTTCCTAGATGATGCTAATAAACAAGCGCTCGTGAAATTTTACAAATCGCAACGCAATTGCTTATCCAACGTTTCAGTTGTAACATTGCAAAAGCTATTGCAGGTGTCTGTAATCTGCAACTTACCAATTGTCGATTCATTAATTTTCGAGCTCCTAGTAATCGTCTACAATGATGCGTATACTACCGTCTAATGAAATATACGATCCTTGTACGAAGGAAGATTTTTATATCGTTTCTAATATCGAGTAGAGAATCGTGATACTAGATATCACGACAATAGTAGGAATCCCCTGGTGTGTCAGCGAAACAATAGGAATTTCCTAAAGCATAGTCATCGACGTGCGACCTCCGGCATTAATATTCATATAGACCGAGCGAGGGGATTTACGGAAACGATTGCTCCACCTTCCGTGAAATTTCTTCCCATGGTAAAGGATTCCGGTTACCAGTGCTCGGAGCGGTCTCGAGCTCCACATCGGCGAGGAGACGCTTATCACGGGCACGAAGCATCAGATAACGCGCGAACTACCAGCCAAGGAGCGTTCCCGCGCATTTATATGCAAAAATACTCGAGGCCAGTGCGCCGCATCGAGAGAAGCAACAAGACCGACTCCATAATCTGCCCATCGACGTCTCATTGGTCCCGGCGGATGTTGCACAAAGGCAAAACGCTTCGAGGAGAAGCGGCTGGCTCGTGTATGTACACGCGCGCACACCTCGTACCCTAGTTTCCACGAGTAGAGTCAATATTTGCTTGGCACTCGTTTGTTAATGAAGTCGATCGACCTGCTCCAGATATCGGTTTACCGTGCCAAGAGGTAGCTTTCCAACTCCTGCAACGGGAACGCCAACGATCGACGAAAAAGGGACAACGAATGGGTCAGGAACGGGAGAACCCCTCCTGTCATCGTTCCACTCGTCCTGCGACGCACCACGCGCGTCTAGGGGCACGTCGAACGTTTACGCGCCATTAAACTCGAGTCCCGTATGACGTTTATCCCTTTATGAGAGTTTTTTATCTCGACGATCCCTTCGCTGACTTCCTGCCATTGTCCTTTCACCCCGAACAGTAACCCTTTACTTAACCGAGTTCTTGTATTTTTTCTTTGGGGAGCAGCGGAGAAAGGAGAAAATGGTGGCGAAAGGATGGAAGGGAGTGACAGAATATCGTAAGAACATCTCGTAGATAGAACTAAATAGTCGACGAAATTTTACAAGTTAAAAGATACGAGCCAGCAGTACCGAGAATATCAAGAAGTTTAGCGACGATTGAAATTTTACAAGTTCCTCTAGCTATTCCATATTTGATGAAAAATTTTTAAATTCCGAACGAGACGAGATGATCGATCAACTATGCTACTCGACGGAAAATTATAACTCTGGAAAAGAAATTTACTATAACTAGTAAATTGTTATGCAAAAAAAGAGTCTCGATGGTGAATGTTGAAATTTTGTATGATTATAGCTATTTTATATCATTATGCTTCGAATTACATATATGGATTATATATGGATTATATGTATAGCGTTGTCCATTTATTACCAAGTAAAAGTGTTTCCATTAAGCTTTTCGAAGAGTCAGCTTCTGTTCGTAGCAGCGTTCACTCAGTCAATTCCAACGAGGGAACAGGCTTCAAATTTTGTAATACACGAATAATAAATTCTCACTACCGTTACACGTATTTGCAATCCAGAATCACTAATATTTCATTCTTCCAAAATCCAACAAGTCGATGATATTTCGAAATTCTAGAGAGAAAGAACGATAAACGAGAATACCAAAAGATCGACACCTTCGTTCGCGTGGTCGTTCCAAGAACTGAAATCAACGTTCATAAAGTGGCTAGGCGCGTGTCGTTTCTATAGCTGTTTCGTTCCATTTCCTCGGAATTAATTTTACTGGACTGTAATAGAGGTGGGACGCGGTCTGGGTAGGCGACAAAAAGCAAAGAACGAAAAGCGTGCGAGAGGATAATCGTCCAATTAAACGGTCTCGAATAATCTTTCGTCGATTGCGTTTTCCACGAGCGAGCGAGCCGAAGGAAACTAGTTCTTCGGTCGCGTGAACTGTAATTACTCGGTTGACAGGGGACCGTGATTGTTACAATTCTACCGGTCAAGCCTTTGCTAGAGAAAGCGTGGCGCGATTTAATTAATTGGCGGGTATATTAATTCGCGAATTTATGGCCGCGTTAAGAATGACCGCTTGATTACCGGGCTGCCGTTTGATATACGGCTAGCCATTTTTCTCGCTAAGTTAATGAGTTAATGAGTCCGCTCGAAAGAACGGGTCGATATATCACCGGCTCGTACTGTGCCGTGTATAAGCAACTGCGTCAAGGGAATTTCTCGCACGAAAGTCACCGCTCGGAGAGACGGTTGCTCGCGATCTTATCGTTCTGGCGCAGTTACGCGCGCGCGGCCACGAGCGCGTGGATCATGCGGCCTGGTTAAAATATACCGACGATTATGTCCGTTTATCGCCAATTAGGAGGAACAAACGGGACGATTCGGTCGCTTTTACCCGAGGCGCGACAGCTAACGCCAGCTTCCAACAAGGTCGTTTACTACGGCTTCTAGATTACCTTTATCGTAGGAAGATGGGTGTTCCTCTGCTCAAGGGAAATTCCTATGCACCTCGCTTCGCATTTGCCAATTATATGTAACGTATCGTTTCGTTATAGAGGCTTCCACGAGTATTTTCCATGGAAAATGAAACACTTGGATAGAACTTTTAATCTTCGAACAACATGTTTTTATCGTGAATTAAGCAATTTGCTGAAAATAAGACGCTCGCGGAGCAAAGAATTCCAAATGATAAATCGAGGACTTGTACGAACGTTTCTGAAACACGACCACTCTATGACTACATTACTGGTAAACAAGAAGTTTGAACTACGTATACAATTTTCTAAAAATAAAGCTCTTAGAAGGACAAATTCCAAATTCCAAAATTAGGAGGAGTCGAAATTCCTTCGCTGACGAGACTCGCGAGAAGATAAACTTTAACCTGGCCACGATTACTAGTTAGTTGTTGCCGGACCAACGAAGAAATACGAGAAGTCTTCTCCGTCACCGCAGGTTGCCCAACATCTACGATCTTATGAATTGTAAAGGGATGGAGATCTAGGAAAACGGACTCGAAAGGGAAACTGCAGCGTGTTGAGAATACGGCCGGGCACAGGTCGCGCAATTTGTATCGGCCTGGATGCGTTTTTAACGATCGGTTTGATGGATGATGGCCGCGCCTCGCTGGCACGTCGATCGAGTCCTTGAAAAATGATGCTCCAGATCGTTGTATACGCGTTCAGACACTCGAATCCACGACGTGTCACGCACACTCGCATGCGTGCTACGTGTATACGTCGGTTCCGAGCATATGGCAAGGGAGGACGGCAGCTTCTTTTCGGTTAATATGTTTTCGCGATCCATAAAGCGCCCGGTTGGGAGTCAAAGACAATTAATAACCTTCCGTAGGATCATTTATCGCGACAGTTTAGCCCCACGAGGCCGAACCAGGCTTCTTCTCTCTTTCTCTCGACGTGGATGCGTATTCGTGAAGAAGAGGTTCGCTGACGGACCGACCAGAGTATTGTTCATCTCCTTGGCCCGTGACCGATCCAATTTTTAACACCGTCTATACATATACCTTCGTTGCTCTTCGAACGATTTTCCTCAGCCACTCGAAGTTAATCGACGGAAACCAACCCTTGCCGCGTGTGGGAATTCTCTTTCAGGATATCGCGTATGGAATTCGTTATGCCGAGATACGACGAGACGAGGGGACGATTTCGAACGATATTCATCGATGGAAATGGATTAAAAAGTGGCCTTTCATTTGCACGCTGAGGAAGGTTCAGGGTAGTTTGATTTGGAAAGTATCTCTACGTGTTTTATCGAAACCAATGATTTTAAGAAGAAATCAGTTTAGAAGTGTCTGCTCTATCGTTTTGGAAAATATCCTTTGGAAAATCTTTCATTTTTTTTTTTTTTTTTTTTTGACAATAAGAAACATTACCTTTGACTTTTGTAACATTAATTTCGAATTAGTAAGAAAATTAGACGGTATAATCGCAAATACTTTGCGAGATATTTGTCACGATCCAACGTGAAACTCTTGCTCGCCTAAGAAGACAGTTAGTGACGTCTTGCTAAGAAAAAGAGTACAGACGAAACATGAGCAGGAGAGGGAACGTCGAACACGCGAGTTCACCTATCAACTAGTGCATACATTAGATCATGTGCGTGATAACGATCAAGTACGGTAGAGCTAAACAGAATTATCATTAACTAGAAACTCAAATCATCCTCCGTATTTAATCCAGTTTGCAACACGAAAATATTTATAGACAGATTACACATCTCTTTCGAAGAATATACGTAGTAAGAACGAATCGTCGCACGATTCCTCGTTTTAATCACGCGCCAATGATTTTCTTAAAACATAAAAAAACGAAATCGACACATAAAAAGAGTTCCTAGACCGCAGCGAGGTTTGGCAGAGTTTATTAAAAAAATGTCTGTCAATTTGCTTGACATACGGACAAATCGTCGTAAACCTCGATTAAATCGTTCGTCTCCGTTGATTTATTCTCGTCGATTTCGAGCAGGGATTTTATGCGCGCGCTTTTCTCGCCGCCGGAACGGTCCATACGTTTGCGTCGCGAGTCTCTGCAATTTAATCTCCCTTTATTCGACGATTAAGCGCATCGTCGTTGATTTACGATATCGTAAACGCGCGACGCTAAAGGCCTCGGGGATATCGCGTTGAAATTGTCTCGGAAGCTCGAGCGTGCTCCGCTCGTTCACAAAGCAAATCGAAAATTACGAAACTACCGAACCTGTCAAATGCTCTATGTTCGTCGTGGAATCTCACTACTCGATCAGATCAATATGGTCGATCGACGAGAACTCGATCGAAATCTACTCATCTACGAAATCAATTCATCTTCGTTATATTACTGTAATTATAATCTCGTTTATGTATGGCGTGTTTCAAC